ACCTCAATGCACCATTCACCTTTTTTCCTTCATCAATTCTATGGTTAACCTCATCCTTCATAAATCCATCCACTGACACGTCAACTCCCAAATATCTGAAAACATTCACTTCTTCCATACTCCTCCTCTTCAATTTGATATCCATTTTTTCTTTATCTAAATCATTTGATACCCTCATCACCTTACTCTTTTCTATGTTCACTTTCAACTTTCTACCTTTACACACTCTCCCAAACTCGTCCACTAACCTTTGCAACTTTTCTTTAGAATCTCCCATAAGCACAGTATCATCAGCAAAAAATAACTGTGTCAATTCCCATTTTGTATTTGATTCTCCATCATTTAATCCCACCCCTCTCCCGAACACCCTAGCATTTACTTCTTTTACAACCCCATCTATATTAAACAACCATGGTGACACTACATATCCCTGTCTAAGACCTACTTTTACCGAGAAGTAGTCTCCCTCTCTTCTACACACACTAACCTGAGCCTCACTATCCTCATAAAAACTCTTTACCGCATTTAGTAATTTACTACCTATTCCATATACTTGCAACATCTGCCACATTGCTCCTCTATCCACTCTATCATATGCCTTTTCTAAATCCATAAATTCAATGAAAACTTCCCTCCCTTTATCTAAATACTGTTCCCATATATGCTTCAATGTAAACACTTGATCTACACATCCCCTACCCACTCTAAAACCTCCTTGCTCATCCACAATCCTCTGTCTTGCCTCTAATTCTTTCAATAATAACCCTACCATACACTTTTCCTGGTATAGTCAGTAAACTTATTTCTCTATAATTTTTACAATCTCTTTTGTCCCCTTCCCTTTATATGATGGAATTATACATGCTCTCTGCCAATCCCTAGGTACTTTCCCCTCTTTCATACATTTATTAAGCAAAAATACCAACCACTCCACCACTATATCCCCCCCCCTGCTTTTAATATTTGTCATGATCCTGTCAGTTTCATCTGCTTTACCCCCTTTCATTCTACGTAATGCCTCACGCACCTCCCCCACACTCACATCCAGCTCTTCTTCACTCCTAAACGATGGTATACCACCCTGGCCAGTGCATGAAATTACCGCCTCCCTTTCTTCGTCGACATTTAAAAGTTTCTCAAAATATTCCCGCCATCTACCCAATACCTCCATCTTCCCTTCTACTAACTCCCCTACTCTGTTTTTAACTGACAAGTCCATTCATTCCTTAGGCTTTCTTAACTTGTTTATCTCACTCCAAAATTTTTCTTATTTTCATCAAAATTTCTTGACAGTGCCTCTCCCACTCTATCATCTGCTCTGCTTTGCACTCTCTCACCACTCTCTTCACCTTTCTTTTGCTCTCCATATACTCTGCTCTTCTTATAACACTTCTGTTTTGTAAAAACCTCTCATAAGCTAACTTTTTCTCTTTTATCACACCCTTTACTTCATCATTCCACCAATCACTCCTCTTTCCTCCTGCACCCTCCCTCCTATAGCCACAGACTTCTGCCCCACATTCTAATACTGCATTTTTAAAACTATTCCAACCCACTTCAACCACCCGCCCCCACTACTCATACTTGCACTAGCCCACCTTTCTGTCAATAGTTGTTTATATCTCACCCGAACTTCTTCCTCCCTTAGTTTATACACTTTCACCTCTCTCTTACTTGCTGTTGCCATTTTCCTTTTGTCCCATCTACCTCTTAATCTAACTGTAGCTACAACTAAATAATGATCCGATATATCAGTTGCCCCTCTGTAAACATGTTCATCCTGAAGCCTACCCATCAACCTTTTATCCGCCAATATATAATCTAACAAACTACTTATGTGCTACATCATACCTTGCATATTAATCCTCTTTTTTTTCAAAAAATATGTATTACTTATTAGCAAACCTCTTTCTACACATTGCTCAATTAAAGGCTCCCCATTTTCATTTACCCCTGGCACCCCAGATTTACCTACTACTCCCTCCACAACATTTTTACCCACTTCAGCACTGAAATTCCCAACCACAAGTATTCACACTTGGTTCAAAACTCTCCACACACTCGCTCAACATTTCCCAAAACCTCTTTCCTCTACACTTCTCTCTTCTCCAGGTGCATATATGCTTACCATAACCCACTTTTCACATCCAACCTTTATTTTACTCTACATAATTCTTGAATTAATAAATTTATAGTCCATCTTTTCCTGCCATAGCTTATCCTTCAACATTATTGCTACTCCTTCTTTAGCTCTAACTCTACTTGAAACCCCTGACCTAATCCCATTTACTTCTCTCCACTGAAACTCTCCCACCCCCTTCAGTTTTGTTTCACTTAACCTTTTCAGGGTTTCGGACGTACTAGTACGCCTAAATTCTAGCGCCCTCAAATCTAGTTAGAGAAAGCTGGTAGGCCTACATATGACTCCCTCATGACTGATCACATTTTGTTAGTCTGGGGCCCAGCGCATACATGTATGAACCTCTATGTTGTGATCTGAGTAATATTTCGTATCAGATCATTGTCAGTGTATTCTGTAATCTTGTTGGTTCTTTTATTTGCTGGTTTAAGGTGAATTTGGTGCAGAGATTTAAAAGCTCGTGTATGTGCGAGTTTTCATCTGAGCTGCCTCCTGGGGTTATCTCTGCTACAGCATTATTTGTTACATTCCTCCAATTTAGGTGCCTTAGGTTGAAATCCCCAGGAGCAACATGTTTGGGGAAGGAGTTGGAAGATTTTCCAGACAGTTCTCTATTGTCAGAAGCTGTTCCTGGAATTGTTGGGAAGTTGCATCCGGAGGCTTATATACAACCACAATGACCTGGTTCTGGTTCTCAAACTGGCAAAACATCATCATCATCATCTGAGGTGTTTAGTAGTTCCGAGCATATCAGCGACTCTGTGACGTACAGGTCAACCTCCCCCCCCCCCTTCCCCCTTTTGCCTGTTCACTCTGTCGCATCTGTGTAGGTTATAACCCGGGATCCATAATTCATTGTTAAAGTGATCCTTTATGTGGGTTTCTGTGAAAACTGCGAACACTGCGTTTAACTCAGTAAGCAGTCCATGGATGAAAGGTATTTTGTTTGTTGCTGGCTTTAGACCCTGTATATTTGCATATATATATATATATATATTATATATATATATATATATTTTATATAATATATATATATATATATATATATATATATATATATGCAGTGACAACTGTGACAATTCCCACAAAGTGGGAGTTGTCACAGTGCTCTTTGCTGATGACACTGTGATTTTCGGAGATTCTGAAGAGAAGCTGCAGAGGTTAGGGGATGAATTTGGTAGGGTATGTAAAAGAAGAAAATTTAAAGTGAATATAAGGAAAGAGTAAGGTGATGAGGATAACAAAAAGATTAGGTGACGAAAGATTGGATATCAGATTGGAGGAGAAAGTATGGAGGAGATGAATGTATTCAGATATTTAAAAGTGGAAGTGTTAGCAGATGGGTCTATGAAGGATGAAGGGAAAAGGGTGAGTGGTGCACTTAGGAGTCTGGAGACAAAGAACTTTCCATGGAACCAAAGAGGGGAATGTATGAGTGAAATAGTTGTACCAACTCTTTTGTATGGGTGTGAAGCATGGGTGATGAATGTTGCAATGAGGAGAAGGCTGGAGGCAGTGGAGATGTCATGTCTGAGGGCATTGTGTGGTGTGAATATAATGCAGAGAATTCATAGTTTGGAAATTAGGAGGTGTGGGATTACCAAAACTATTATCCAGAGGGCTGAGGAAGGGTTGTTGAGGTGGTTTGGACATGTAGAAATAATGGAACAAAACAGAATGACTTCGAGTGTGTATAAATCTGTAGTGGGGGGAAGGCAGGGTAGGGGTCGACCTAGGAAGGGTTGGAGGGAGGGGGGGTAAAGGAGGTTTTGTGTGCGAGGGGCTTGGACTTCCAGCAAGCATGCGTGAGCGTATTTGATAGGAGTGAATGGAGACAAATGGTTTTTAATACTTGACATGCTGTTGGAGTGTGAACAAAGTAACATTTATGAAGGGATTCAGGGAAACCGGTTGGCCTGGAGATGGGCAGTACAGTGTCTGCACTCTGAAGGAGGGGTGTTAATGCTGCAGTTTCATAACTGTATTGTAAAGCACCCTTCTGGCAAGACAGTGATAAATGATGATGAAAATTTTTCTTTTTCGGGCCACCCTGCCTTGGTGGGAATCGGTCGATGTGTTAATAATAATAATAAATAAATAAATATATATATATATATATATAATATTATATATATAATATATATATATATATATATATATATATATATATATATATATATATATAAACAAACACTGATCTCTGGCTGAAGAAGACTCGAACCTACGGACCTTGAAAACAAGGTACGCAGTGCTATATCAATCTCACCACACTGGACCAATGCCTTGGAGTCCAGCTTGCGCTAGACTTTGATTATATATATATAATATATATATATATATATATTATATATATATAATATATATATATATATATATATATATATATATTATATATATATATATATTTAAAGCAACAAACTATGCCGGCATACAAAAATGGAGGATCAGCCACATAGCCTACCTGGCCTAGAATATGGCTGGTGGTAGGAGAAAACAAGTCTAGTGAGTTTACTTGATGGCTAAAGTTATAAGCCACAGTAGTTAGTGTGTCGGTCTAGACTAAAGCATCAAGTGTCTGGTCTGAGACCTAGATTCAATACCCCGCCAAAACGCAGTCCTATTCTTTTCATATCAAGAAACGCAAAGGAATATTTACCTGCTATCTTACATGTTCACAAGACAAAGACCAGAAATTTGGGCAGTCACAACACATAACAAGTTTCTGTTTTACATTCTTAACACAGGATAGTTGCACCTCCTTTATCTTTGTTTTTGTAGGTAACAGGCTAAAAAAAACTAACCAATAATTTTTCAAGAACGAACATACATTATTAAAAATACTAAAATGAAATAAACCTACCCCAATCCGAACATCCTTAAGGTAACTTCAATCATAAAATAGGTAGAGAAGGCAAGTGAGCAGTACTCGATGGGGTCATTGTTGGTGGGGTGGTTGAAGAGATCCACGAAGAGGAGGATCATATCAATGAGGATGAGCAGCGCCGTCAGTAAGCGCACCACGAAGTGCTCCACAAACCGTCGCGTCCGCCACTGCATGTAGCTAATTGTAATGAGAAAATAATATTTGACTTGATAAAGCTGAAGAGCGAAACGTTGCCACAATAAAATGTCACATTACTTACACATGTGTCCGTTTACCTAACAATATTTAACTCTTATATAATCTGTGAAAATTTATAAGTAGTGACAAATTCTCTCTAATGTTCTCAATAACATCGAAATTCTCAAGCATAGATTCTTAATAATTTATCTAATATTGAACCTTAATTTTCTTTCAATTATCATAAACAGAATACTATTCAATTTAATGTAATAAAAACTAGATGCATTTCTGGTACTGCTCGATCCGAGAAAGTTATCCCCGTATTTCATAAGCCCAGCCTCCTCTACCTCAATGAACGCAACAAAAATATTGGAGGGTGGTCACAATATTCCAATTCATAAAAATATGTATACCTGTGTGTGTGTGTGTGTGTGTGTGTGTGTGTGTGTGTGTGTGTGTGTGTGTGTGTGTGTGTGTGTGTGTGTGTGTGTGTGTGTGTATGTGTGTGTGTGTGTGTGTGTGTGTGTGTGTGTGTGTGTGTGTGTGTGGGGTGTGATGTGTGTGTGTGTGTGTATGTGTGTGTGTGTGTGTGTGTGGTGTGGTGTGTGTGTGTGTGTGTGTGTGTGGTGTGGGGTGTGTGTGTGTGTGTGTGTGTGTGTACTCACCTAACTCACCTAATTGTGGTTGCAGGGGTCGAGACTCAGCTCCTGGCCCGCCTCTTCACTGATCGCTACTGGATCCTCTCTCTCCTCTGCTTCCTGAGCTTTGTCATACCTCTTCTTAAAACTATGTATGGTTCCTGCCTCCACTACTTCACTTGCTAGCTATTCCACTTGCTGACAACTCATGACTGAAGAAAATACTTCCTAAACGTCCCTGTGACTCGTCTGAGTCTTCAGCTTCCAGTTGTGACCCCTTGTCCCTGTGTCCCCTCTCTGGAACATCCTATCTCTGTCCACCTTGTCTATTCCCCGCAGTATCTTGTATGTCGTTATCATGTCTCCCCTGACCCTTCTGTCCTCCAGTGTCGTCAGTCCGATTTCCCTTAACCTTTCCTCGTACGACATCCCTTGAGCTCTGGGACTAGCCTTGTTGCAAACCTTTGTACTTTCTCTAACTTCTTGACGTGCTTGACCAGGTGTGGGTTCCAGACTGGTGCTGCATACTCCAGTATGGGCCTAACATACACAGTGTACAGTGTCTTGAACGATTCCTTATTGAGGTATCGGAACGCTATTCTCAGGTTTGCCAGGCGCCCGTATGCTGCAGCGGTTATTTGGTTGATGTGTGCCTCCGTGATGTACTCGGTGTTATGGTCACCCCAAGGTCTTTCTCCCTGAGTGAGGTCTGTAGTCTTTGTCCACCTAGCCTATATTCTGTCTGCGGTCTTCTTTGCCCCTCCCCAATCTTCATGACTTTGCATTTGGCTGGATTGAATTCGAGGAGCCAGTTACTGGACCACATGTCCAGCCTCTCCAGGTCTCTTTGCAGTCCTGCCTCATCCTCGTCCGATTTAATTCTTCTCATCAACTTCACGTCATCTGCGAACAGGGACACTTCAGAGTCTATTCCTTCCATCATGTCGTTCACATATATCAAAAATAGCACTGGTCCTAGAACTGACCCCTGTGGGACCCCGCTCGTAACAGGCGCCCACTGTGATACCTCTTCACGTACCATGACTCGTTGCTGCCTCCCTGTCAGGTATTCCCTTATCCATTGCAGTGCCCTTCCTTTTATGTGTGCCTGATCCTCCAGCTTCTGCACTAATCTCTTGTGGGGGAACTGTGTCAAAGGCCTTCCTGCAGTCTAGGAAAACGCAATCTACCCAACCCATCTCTCTCGTGTCTTACTTCTGTTACCTTGTCATAAAACTCCAGGAGGTTTGTGATACAAGATTTGCCTTCCATGAACCCATGCTGGTTTTCATTTATAATCTTGTTCCTTTCCAGGTGTTCGACCACTCTCCTCCTGATAATCTTCTCCATGACTTTGCACACAATACATGTCAGAGACACAGGTCTGTAGTTTAGTGCCTCGTTTCTGTTTCCTTTCTTAAATATGAGGACTACATTAGCTGTCTTCCATTTCTCAGGTAGTTGCCCAGTTTCAAGGGAATGTGTTGAAGATTGTGGTTAGAGGCACACACAGCAACCTCTCTGCTCCTTCTCTAAGGACCCATGGGGAGATGTTGTCCGGTCCCATCGCCTTTGAGGTGTCAAGGTCACTTAAGAGCTTTCTTCACCTCCTCCTCAGTTGTTCGTATGTCATCCAACACTGTTGGTATATTCCTCTTGATGTTCCCTTCTGTGCTGTCTTCCCACAGCCCTTCCTGTCTCTACTGTAAAAACTTCCTTAAATCTCCTGTTCAGCTCCTCACATACCTCCTGATCATTTCTTGTGAGTTCTCCACCTTCTGTCCTTAATCTGATCACCTGGTCTTTGACTGTTGTCTTCCTCCTGATGTGGCTATACAACAGTTTCGGGTCAGTCTTGATTCTCGATGCTATGTCATTTTCATACTGTCGCTGGGGCCTCCCTCCTTACTGTGCGTACTCATTCCTGGCTCTGCGACTGATCTCCCTATTTCGTGTGTTCTCCTGCCTTCTGTACTTTTTCCATTCTCTATTGCACTTTGTTTTTGCCTCCTTACACCGTCGGTAAACAGGGCTTGTTCTGGTCTTCCCGTTGTTACTGTTGCCCTTGGGAATGAACCTTTCCACTGCCTCCTTGCATTTTGTTGCTACATATTCCATCATTTCATTTACTGGCTTTCCTGCCAGTTCTCTGTCCCACTGGACCTCCCGCATGAAGTTCTTCAACCCTATGTAGTCCCCTCTTTTATAGTCAGGCTTTTCCCATTCTACTCCTGTTATTCTCTCCACTTGCAGCTCTACTATGTATTCAAAGCACAGAACCACGTGGTCGCTAGCTCCTAGGGGACTCTCATACTTGATGTCCTCAATGTCTGAGCTGCCCAGGTGAACACAAGGTCCAATCTTGCTGGTTCATCCTCCCCTCTCACTCTGGTAGTGTCCTTAACATGTTGGTGCATGAGGTTTTCCAGCACCACGTCCAACATCCTGGCTCTCCATGTTTCGGGACCCCCATGTGGCTCCAGGTTTTCCCAGTCAATCTCCCTGTGGTTGAAATCCCCATAACCAGCAACTTTGCTCTGCTGGAGTGAGCTCTTCTTGCCACCTCAGCAAGTGTGTCCACCATTGCTCTGTTGCTCTCTTCATATTCCTCTTTTGGCCTCCTGCAGTTCTGTGGTGGATTATACATCGCTGCAATGACCACTTTGTGTTCCCCAGACTGAAGTGTACCTGCTATGTAGTCTCTTTCTCCTGTCTCATCTATTCCTTCCATTTTCTCGAATTTCCATCTGTATGGGGTGTGTGGGGTGTGTGTGTGTGGTGTGTGTGTGTGTGTGTGTGTGTGTGTATGGTGTGTGTATGTGTGTGTGTGTGTGTGTGTGTGTGTGTGTGTGTGTGTGTGTGTGTGTGTGTGTGTGTGTTTTGTGTGTGTGTGTGTGTGTGTGTGCGCGTGCGTGCGAGCGCAAATAATACTGCAACAAGACAAAAATCGAACACAGGACATTGAGCCATCCTCCTGGGAGCCTTGCTAACCTCCCGACGTATTAGCTAATCAAAAATGGTTATAATAACAACCCTCAGCTTTTAAAGGGATGGACCGGTAAGCCAGCGAAAGGCCTCGGTCAGATGACCAAAAGCCCCAGTGACGGGTCATCATATGACCAAGACCGGCGTCAGGAAACACTTGCCTTGTTTCCTGACAAACCTTACCTAACCTAACCTTAGTCAACTGCACCACCATGCTACAAACATCAGGTGCCCAGCAGGTACACTGGTCATCTCACTTCTTGACGCCAGCACATTGGTGGCCGTAATTTGCCAAAGGAACTGATTTCATTCTCCTCCCGTTGAGATACAGACCTCACGAGCACAAAGCTCACGCTGTTGTTGAGTGACATTAGTCCCAATTTGCCAATTTTATTGAATAAATGGTTATATTAATTTTGATTCAATAACTAAATAATGCTTCTTCTGATTAGCTTCAAAATATTATTGACGAATATTAGTTAGTTTAAGTTGGTGCAAATCTGACATTTTACTCAAACCAATTTTGGTATCTTACTGGCATTTTTCTTCAAAGTGGATTTTTAAAAGCAGCAAAATCAAATACTCTTTCTTACGGCATTGTAGAGAACTTTTAATAGAATTTAAATAAGAAAACTAGAAAGCATAAAAAAATCTTATTATAAAGGCATTTTCTTATGTTCCGGAACATTCTCAGCAACATTTTCGTTTGCTTTCTCACAATTTTTCGTTTATTACTCAAGAACGTATTATTCGATCGACTTCAAATTTTCAACACTGGTGTAATGTAGCTTGGGCAAGATTTATGGGACTATCCGCATGCCTGGGTGACCTTAATGCAATGTTACGCAAGTCATTATCAAATTTTTATTTGCGTGATAACTGGAGAGGCTCCTCTGAAGGTTGGTGTATTTGATGCAATGTTGAGATGCCATCTTGTCACTTTTAATCTGGAAATGGTATAGTATTATTTTATATTACATTATTTTGCCTTGATGCTGGTGAGGAGCTCTTGATCCAAGGAACTGGGCTTATCTTTTCCTTGGATCGAATTTGAATGCCTTCCATTCCACAAGCTCCTAATGACCCCTACAGGATTAGCGCTTTCCTCTGATTAAAATATAACAATTGTGAGCAGAATCAATCTCCAATGAAACAGATGGAATATTTCATGAGTTTATGCTGTTTACCTAGAGAGGGTTTCGGGGGTCAACGCCCCCACAGCCCGGTCTGAGACCAGGCCTCATGGTGGATCAGGGTCTGATAAACCAGGCTGTTACTGTTGGCCGCACACAAGCTGACGTACGAACCACAGCCCAGTTGGTCAGGTACTGACTTTAGGTGCCTGTCCAGTGCCTTCTTGAAGACAGCCAGGGGTCTATTGGTAATCCCCCTTATGTATGCTGGGAGGCAGTTGAACAGTCTTGGGCCCCGGACACTTACTGTGTTGTCTCTCAGTGTACCCGTGGCGCCCCCTGCTTTTCATCGGGGGGATGTTGCATCTCCTACTGAGTCTTTTGCTTTCATAGGGAGTGATTTTCGTGTGTAGGTTCGGTACCAATCCCTCCAAGACCTCCCAAGTGTATATTATCATGTTTCTCTCTCGCCTGCGTTCGAGGGAATACAGATCAAGGACCTTTAACCGCTCCCAGTAGTTTAGGTGCCTTATAGTACTTATGTGCGCCGTGAAAGTTCTTTGTACACTCTCCAGGTCTGCAATGTCGCCAGCCTTGAAGGGGGCCGTTAGTGTACAGCAGTATTCCAGCCTAGAGAGCACAAGCGATTTGAAGAAAATCGTCATGGGCTTGACATCCCTAGTTTTGAAGGTTCTCATTATCCATCCTATCATTTTCCTAGCGGATGAGGTAGATACATTGTTGTGGTCTTTGAAGGCGAGATCCTCTGACATTATCACTCCCAGGTCCTTCACATTACTTTTCCGCTCTACTGTATGGTTAGAATTTCTTGTTGTATACCCTGTGCCTTGTGGAACAGAGCTTTTTACCATGGCTGCCTGGGACTTTACTCTGTTTACTATTACTCTTTATGTTCTATTTGTCAGGGAGTTTTAGATCCATCTACATCTGTATTTTGTTTATCCTCTACAGCATCCAGGACCTTGTCATAGTGGTCCAGTAGCTGGGACAGGCAGGAGCGACCTGTTCTAAACCCGTGTTGCCCTGGGTTGTGTAACTGATGAGTTGGCGATCTTGCTTCTTAGAACCCTCTCCAAGATTTTATGATATGGGATGTTAGTGCTATCGGTCTGTAGTTCTTTGCAATTGTTTTACTGCCACCTTTGTGGAGTGGGGCTATGTCTGTTGTTTTTAGTGTGTGTGGGATGACCCCTGTGTCCATGCTCCCTCTCCATAAAACGCTGAAGGCACGCGATAGGGACTTCTTGCAATTCTTGATGAACATGGAGTTCCACGAGTCAGGGCCTGGGGCAGAGTGCATGGGCAAGTCATTAATATCCTCTTCAAAAGTCTTGTGGAGTTAGAATAATATCCGAGATTTTTGTGTGTAGGCACAAATTTTGCAGTATTCTGCCCAATAACTAGAAAATGAATGTTCTGGTCAACTTTAACGTTATAGTGTTGATGTGTTTTACTCAAAGGAAACAATCTTGATGTTAGCTTGTGTAAGTTATCATGTGCCAATTTTATTAATTAAATTGGTTTCTGTGAAATAACTGAAGAACGTCTTTTCTTATCAGAAACATCACAGTTTCTGACTTTATTTGGTTATCTAGGATAAACCATCTTAAAGTTCTTTTATGTGCCTATAATATGTGTGCCTTCAAGACCTTTGTAAAAAATTGTATGTTATGTATACTAAGCTTACACATTACTTACTGTATTTTCACAGTAGTTGGTTTAGTCTTACTTTGAAAAAATTTGGATTGATTTTGGCCTGTGTAGGTCCCAATTTGCTTTTATTTGAAGACACTGGCATAACTGAAATATTGCTTTACATGCGAAAATTTCCAAGTGTCGCATCTGATTAGCTTCAACTCTTCCATGTTCATAACTTGGTCATGAAACATCTGAGCGGCTTCAAATTTAATATTCTTGCGTATTTAAGGATAGTGGTCTCTTTGAATGGTATGAATTATATTCAGGCTGTGTATATCGTAATCTATCATTCTCTGAAGAAATCTGGATATTAGTTTCTATGTGATGACTTGTGAATGCCTCTTCTGATTCGCTTCAGTTCTCCAACACTAATATTTAACTGCATTATCAACTTGTGCCGCACTGCGTACTATTCCAATAATATGCACCGAGGCACAGTGGACTGGGGTCATGAACACGGAGTTACCTTCTTCAGATAGCGTAGCAACCGAAATACATCCATTTTTATAAGCAAACACATTTCCATCCTAACTCAGGTACACTATGCTATGTCTACTGCATTGTATACAAAAAATCCCTAACACTTCTTACTTCCTTGCACTGGAAAAAAAATCATGTAGCATTTGAAATTTTCATTAGGCTAATTTATAAGCTATACTGTAGAAGTACTCGCCAAACTGTTCACAGCACCATAACTGTACTGGAACTATACTGCTAACTCTTCAATTAAAAGACTGCACCATCAGTTATAACCGCTTGAACAATAAGATAACCTTCATGTATGCAACCAAGATAATTTTAGTTATAAGTTTCTAACTCAC